TTTTCATTTTCTGTTAGCCATCTTTGATATAAACTTATGAATTTTATTTTCTAGTCCTAAGGAGATCAGTGGCTGATGGGGTTTACAACCTTCTAGATTAAACTGAAATGAAATTTATTTTTAGCCAATTTAAGGGCACTGTTTTGAGTCTAGGTAGACTGATCAATAAAATTAGCATAGCCAAATGCTGTCATGTTTCTCATGAACGTTGACGTGCCACATAATTTGCTTATTCTTTTATGTAATGAACTGGTACTTTACAAGTTCATGGATTGATTATGTTTATTTTCCCTTTATTTTTCCATTGAATTAAAATTTTATTATTTTTTCTTTTTGGGAATTGATTTTGGTTTTGATTTTTGTTTCTGGTATTGTCCGTCACTGTAATTCATGGCTGCAAGATATATATATGCACATTCTGTTTGTGGTGAAATATGTAGTATATCATGTCATAGTGTCATCCTCTTTCATCCTTTTCATTTGGAAATATTTATAGGAGTATGCAGGTATTGTAGTTAGTGATGTAGTATCAGGAGTTCAATGTTTGGTATGAAGCTCTAGTATCCTTAACTTAATAAAGCCTTATCCTACTTGGGTGTGGGAGCTAATTCTTCCTTGATTCCAGCCAGGTTTGTCCTTAACTCTCTTTTTCTTAGTTGTGGCTTTAGATCTTTCAATTCTTTGAACAATGAACATGTCCCATTTCTGTCTCCTTATGTATATTTTGTGTTTACTCCTTTCACTGTCAATGCTTGTTTTTGAGTTGTCCTTCAAGAGAACAGTTGTTTTCATTAGGGTAATAAAGATGTTACGATTTGTCGTGTGCCTGATGCCCTGATTTATACTACAGTTTTCCCTTTCTCCTGTATTGGTGGTGCCTTTTTCTTTTTTTAGAAGGAAGTGGTACTTATTCTTTCAGAACACTGCCTACTGAGGACTTGTTAAAAATTATATCTTAAGCCTTCAATTGTCAGTGCTGTCACGGAAGAAAGTTATAGTATAGATGTTAAGATAAGCTTCTGGATAATGAACTGGGTGTTCAATTGAGTTAAATTGGATCCAATACTTTTCAGTCTTTTACCCTTGTCAATAAGATGCCTGAACGGTTTCATCAGAGTCCTTTTTCCTTATATTGCTTTCCCAAAATTATATCAGGGAAAAATGGAAGATTCTAGTTGTGTTAAAGAGGCTCAAGTAGCAGGTCCATATTCCCAAGAGACTGTAGAAATTAAGCCCAATTCTGATGTTGACAGTTTCATGTGTTCCAATTCTTATCCAAATTATCGCCATGTACTATCAGAAAATACAGATACAGCATTGCTGCTGAATGATGCAAAGGCATTGGGACATGAAAATGCTCGATCAGGTGAACTTTTTTTAGCTTTAATATGTCTAGGTTTCTTGGACATCATAAATTATGAATCCATTCAATTTAGAAAATGTAAGGTAGTTTTCTGAATGATGAATTCATTAACATCTTTGACATTCTACTGATGAGTATTACCGTTGATGTAGAGTGTAATGACCAAGCAAGTTCTGGATTTCACTCGATCCTGAGCTACACCAGCCTGCTGCGGAAACTATTGATGCTGGAGGCTCTGAACCTAATGTTCCTCTGTTTTATCCAAGTAAAATAGTTATTTGTGTTATTTTTATTATTTTTGAATTAAAGTTTGCTTTTTCAGTTTTTGCTAATTCTCTAACAACTTTTACACTGCAGATAGTTTTCATGAAAGTGATAATGATGTTGAACTAACACACAAACTGTGGAGTTCCCTTGATGTTACATTATTGGAAGATGACTGGGAGAGTAATATTCCTTCTAGTGAATCCATAGAGTGTGGGTCATTGTCTTCCTTCTCACATCCTGATACTGTGGGTGAGTTTGTCAGCAACAATGTTGTTAAAAGGCTGGACTTTGGGGGGCATTTGCAGATTCAAGAAAAGTCAAAGGTACTGACTGATTAAGATTGCTAAAGTTTTCATGCATCAAATCAGAGTATATATCTAGCGTTTGGTTTCTAGTTTAATTATTTTTAGTCTTTAATTTCAATTTCAAACAGGCTTCTTTTGAGGATTCTTCATCTTTCTCTAAGTGGCCAATAGATCAGAAATTATATTCAGAATCAGCATGTGATACAACTTCTATATCCATTAAATACGGAGAAAATGATCATGTTCTTCCACTTGATTCTGTTGAGTACTTGAACTTGGAGGCAAAATCAATCTGCCCTTCTGCTATAAAGCAGAGTTTGTTTGATTGTTCATTAACGGAAGAAGGTTCAAAGAAGCTGGACAGTTTAAACTGGATGCTTGAGGAACTAGGAGACGTTACAGATGTAGATGAGTCACATAGGCTGTCCAGTTCTGGGGCTTTGTGGGGAACAGTTGAAAATGAAATAAGGATTGAGATTGATGTTTTCAGCATTCCCTCCGAAGGACAAGTTCATACCTCTGTGCCTGATCCTTCTGTGTCCCAGGACCAACTTTTTACCATTATTGATTTCTCACCAAATTGGGCATATTTAGACTCTGAAACTAAGGTCAGCACATTAATTTTTTGTTTATTTATTTTCACCATTTTTGTGATAAATTTACAGGGATTGAAATAGAGCATTCTTCATCATTAGAGTTGTATGTACTATGTAGAGACTTCTCTCTTCTCATGTATTACAGTATTCGTTTTTTTTTTTTTTTTTTTCCACAACTTATATATGTCCTGATCGTGGGAAGATTCATTAAGAGTCCAGATGTGTTAGAAAATTGTAAATGGTCATGTATGTTTGGGGAGGTAGAAGTTCCAGCAGAGGTTATAGCAGATGGTGTTCTTCATTGCCACACTGCAACACGAGGCTAGCAGGGTTTCTTTCTATATCATGCACTCCAATGGATTAGTTTGTAGCAAAGTGCTAGAATTTGAATACCAAACCGTTCATACTGAAGATGTTAACACTGCAGAAAACTATAATAGCAGTGCCAATGACAATCTTCAATTGCGATTTGATGAATTGTTAAGCTTAAGCTCCAAGTTAACTATTTCTGACACCAGCAGTTTGGGTGATATATCCCAGTTGAGCAGTAAAATCAATACATTACTTAAGGAGGACATCTCAGAATGGGAACAAATGTTAAAGCTTAGATCAGGGGAGGAATTTTCCTCAGAAAAATTTAATGAGAAGCTGTTTCAGAAGCTACTGAAAGAGAAGTTGCATGTATGGCTCTTACAGAAGGTAGCTGAAGGTGGTAAAGGCCCTAGTGTATTGGATGAGGGTGGACAAGGTGTTCTACATTTTGCAGCAGCACTTGGCTATGATTGGGCTTTTGAGCCTACTATAGTTGCTGGTGTTGGTGTCAATTTCCGTGATGTGAATGGATGGACTGCACTTCATTGGGCAGCGTCTTGTGGGAGGTGAGCACGTCAACATTTCTTTTGAATATTTCTTTGAAGTTCACCATTTTCTTCTTTTTTCCTCTTATCTCTTTTCCCTTTCCTATTATTTTGTGGTTGTCCTTTGGTCCATAGGAGGAGATATGATGAAGATTCTAATATTATGGCTTTATAGGTTAGGAAGTACTCCATAATGAGGAAAAATTTATCTTTTTGATTCAAACAGATGTGAAAAATACCATTCCATCTGATATTTCATGCTTTAATCCTTGTATTTTTTACACAGTTATTTCTCTTTTGTTTTTTATGTGCTGCTTCTATTAACATAAACTCTCTTCAACTTCAGAGAGCATACGGTTGCTTCCCTCATTTCATTGGGTGCAGTTCCTGGAGCAGTAACAGATCCATTCCCTAATTATCCTTCCAGCAGAACACCTGCTGATCTAGCCTCTGCCAGTGGACATAAAGGAATTGCTGGATACCTTGCAGAGGACGCTTTGAGGGTCCAGAGTTCATCCCTTAATTTGGCTAATGAAGATGATGATAAAAAAGGACCCAAAGCAGTGCGGGAAATTTCAGAAAGAAGTGTAACTCCACTTAGCTTAAGCAATGCACCAGATAGCCTGTCATTAAGGGAATCATTGGCTGCTGTCCGTAATGCTACCCAAGCTGCTGCCCAAACTTATCAGGTTTTCCGAGTGTACTCCTTCCAAAAAAAGAAGTTAAATGAGCTTGCGCTTTCACTTTTAGCAATCAAGTCATACAAGCCAGGACAAGGAGATGAACTTATACATGCAGCTGCCACATTCATTCAAAATAAGTTCCGTAGTTGGAAGGCTAGAAAAGAGTTTTTGATAACCAAGCAGCGAATTGTTAAAATTCAGGTGTATTTTACTTGCTGATTTAACCTGGTTATGGTTCTTGGCACTCTGACCTTGCTTTTCCTTTCTCCAATGGTTTGAATCTAACTTTTAGTTTCTTCTTCATTTCTTTTTTTGGTGAAGGCTCATGTGAGAGGTCACCAAGTCAGGAAACGCTATAGGAAAACAATCTGGTGTCTAGGAATTTTGGAGAAAGGGATCTGGCGTTGGAGAAGAAAAAGAAGTGGTTTGAGTGGATTTAAGCCAGAAGCATTTACTGCAGTTCCCAATATGCATGAAAATTCCTCAAAAGATGATGACTATGATTTTCTGAAAGAAGGCAGGAAACAGGTAGAAGACAGGATACAAAAGGAGCTTGCTAAGGTAAAGTCTATGGTTCAGTATCCAGAAGGCAGAGAGCAATATCGCAGACTGCTGAATGTTGTCTCTGAGATCCAAGAGAAAAAGGTAACTGAATGTTTTCTTTCTCTAATTTTTCATTTGTAGTTTTTCATAAAAGATTTCACAGAATGTTTTACACAATCCTAAATTGGAAAGTTATAAGTAGACGTGTTGATTTTGCATACACATCTTACGAAATTATGGCTAGCAAGATCAGTTTATATCATAGATCTGCTACAGAAGGAATTAAGAGCATTTGCAAATCTGAGGCTGCATTTTACATGTTTGACTTGTTCCAGGGTTTACCTTTTCTTGATATATGGAAAAATATCTCTAGTTTTTTCTTTGTACAATAGCCAAATAGGCTAAATAGTTTGACACGTTAAAATGTTGGTTTTTTTTTTTTTGTTTTTTAAGTACAGGTTTGTATGAACTTGTTTCTTTTAACTAACTTCGCAGGTTAGTGCCTCGAGTCCAATTGATTTTGATGAAGACCTGATAGATGTTGAAGCATTGTTAGAGTACGATACTTTCATGGCCAGTGGCCACTGCAACTTGAGACATCTTTAAAACCGCATGTAATAAACTTACTAGAGATTTCTGAAATGCCAGCCAATCGCTGGTGTGAACGCAGGCATATGCCTCCAAAAGCACTGGTGAGTCACTCCCCGCAAGTGCCAGCCAGGATTGTTCTACTCTGGTGTTTGTCCCTATAAACGCTCAAATGACACCAAAGCAGAGACACACACTAAATTACATGCTGAAATGTTCAATAAACAACAGTATTACTCATAGATGAGAAATACTTCTGGTACAAGTCATTCTGTGGATAAGGGTAGTTTAGGTATTTCAGGTTTAAACCCGGTTATAACTTCAAATCAAGATTTTGAAGTTAATGGATGCAACTTCGCCAAGGTGCTATAAATTGTATTTCCCATAATTTTAAGTGATGAAATGTAAGCTATTTTCTTCTTCCTCTCATCCCTGTCTCTTGCTTTCCTAACTCTTCTTCTTCTCTTGATCTTATCTCAAAAAATACTTCTCTTAATCTTCTAATATCTGTTCTCTTCTACGGTACGACTTCTTGTTCACCACTTAAATGCAGATGGTGTCTTTACTTGTATTCAATGGAAAACAGTATTTTTCAATTGCATATAATTATTGTATTTTCTATGTTTTACCAAAAAAAAAAAAAAAAACAAAAAAGCATAGCTGGTGTAAATTAAAACGTTAATTTCTGTTGCCTCTGCAATTCCGATTGCTAATAGAGTTTATCAATTGAAAGTGAGTTGCGTGAATCATGAATAGAAACAAAACTTGTTTCCCCTTTTATAGACTCATAGTTTTGAGCTTGAAGTGAGTCCAAAATGAACTCAAACATAAGCGGTTCATTATTTCAAGGGCGTGTTTGGTTTTCGGTACACAAGGGCATGTTTTGTTGGTGGGCGTGCAAGTGTAAAGAAACCGAAGGTAGGGTCCTCGAAATTTCTTAATTCTTCTTAGTGTAGTCGGTATTACACTATTGCCGCGCGGAGGCATTGCATATGACAGGGACATGAACTTTTTGATTTTCTCTCATTGTTCCCAAAATGTTAAAATCTTTTGTATTATAGGTATTATGGGATTTGAATTCCCCATAACTTAGTTGTGTGTTGCTGTTTTGTTAATTTTAATCCCACTTTTTACTGAAAATGAAAAAAAAAAAAGGACATTGCACATCTTTTCTTTCTAAAGAAAAAAATTATTTACAATGCTTTTTATAATGAATTTTTATAACAATAAATTTTTATTTTTATTTTTAAATTAGATAGGATAATGAATTTGTGTACGGTAATAATGTGTATAATATTTT